GAAATGATGAAGATGTGAATTATGACAATGATCCCGTGGTGTGTGACAGCTATACGGATAGACGAATAGACAGTTTGGACTACGTTAAAAGTATTTTTTATGCGATACAACAGTATAAGCTGTACACACCATCATTGTATTAAAGTACTTGTAAGTCAGCAAATAATCATCTTAAAGTTACTATCGACCCATTAAAGTGTTTTCTATAAAACACTTTTTAAATTTTGTATACAAAATGACTGTTTTAAAATTTCAAAAAATTATAAATTTTTATTTCTATTTTTTTTCTTATTAAAAACAAATTATAAAAAATATGATTTTAATGTAGTATAATAGTATAAAAATCGTTAAAAAAAATTATAGCGAAATTATTATCGGATGAAATGTTACTGATTTTGTCATGTCTTCTTTAAACGCTTTGTATTTGTACGCAAAATTATTTTAAGTAATTTACTAGAGCTAAATTAAAATTTTTCTTTTTGAGCTGCAATGCGAAGCTAAAAAGATATTGGTTTGACCATGATGAAGAGTTCACCAATGAAAATATAATGACAGAAGAACTTTAACCTGGTCCTTTTAGTATAATCTAGTTAATTACGTTTACATTATCAGCTGCATTAGATAAATGCAAAATAAACACTGATGCCATTCATGTACTATCTATATATATCTGAATAGCGTATCTATCAATCAAAATTTAAAATTACATTTTAAATAGAACACAAATTAAAAATATTCGGCAGTATTTTCGGAAGAAAAACGCAGATAAAGTAAAGTTTATTTTTTTTTAAGAAAAAAATTACTACCTGATTTGACTGGACCAGATAAAGTAAATCGTATACCAGCAATTGTAACCGACCCAGATTTAAAACAGTTTATTGGAGTCCCTTTGATACCATCTGAAACAGGGCTAGAAATATCATTTGCAGTATATGACAACTTTACAAAGTGGTCTTTATTAGACAAAGCTGAAATTGAAAAATAAGGACCAGCCTGAGATTATAGCACAAATTTAATAAAAACTAACCGGACTAATATTACAAATCTTTATCTAGTGGTTAACAATTTTCTTTTATTACTTCAAAATATAGAATAAAATAAGGATTAACTTTTCTATAAGGTCATTTAACTTGAAAAGCTCATAGTAACAAATGAGTTGATTTAAACACATCATTATTTATTTAGCTGCACTAAATATTTAAATGATTTAAAAAGCCGGCTAACAGCACAGTGTATAATTGAAATTGTTTTGTTTGTTTAGCTGTACATTTGTAAAATAATAAATTGATTTTCAGTTATTACATTATAGAGTAAAAAGAAAAACACTGTGTTAATGTCTAAAATAGAATATATCGCTAATTGTACCAATAATTATAACAGATATGAGTTACTAAATATTTAATTAGGATTCCGTTTTTTTATTTATTTCATTAAAAATCATGATTTCACATTTTCAATTCTTAAATATTGTTTGTAACTTAATAGCTTTTATAAATAACTAAAAATTATTTTTTATATTAAATTTAACATACACTTTTTTGTAAAACTTTTATTAAATATATTTGCTGAATATCAACATTATTAATACCCAGTAAATATTAAAAAAAAAAAAAAAACAAATAACTTTCCTAATTTATTTCATAAAGCACTAGATAAAGTTTGGTTATAAAATAAATTATTAAATAATAGAGATACTTAACGTCAACCCAGCATAAATATTTTCAGATAATTAAACATATTGGATTTTAATGCAATTTTAAGCACAATTAAATCAAAGTATAGATATATTTTGCTAAGAAAATGTAATAAAATCCTATAGCTATCTTTTACTAAACTATTTTAATCTTTGTATTAAATAGTATTTATGATGCGATTGTATTTTAAAATCCCTGTTATACTATTTACACTAAATTGGTGGTTTTATTTGGATTTGAATGTCGTAGATGACTTTTATATATAAATAACACTTGTCTTAACTTTAAAGAAAAGTAAATTATTATTAAACTACAATTAAAATAAAAAACAATTTATTTAGGTTTATTAAATTTTAGTACTATTAGTGTAATTTTTCGTGTTTTTTTATATCTATTTTATATCTTAATAACAATATTAATCGAATGAACTTTGTCAAATAAAAATAATTTTATTTACATTTATGTAATTTATTTAGGATATTAGTATAGTTATTTTATCCGATTGTAAACTTGACTGTTGAATTTCTGAGAATTACTCTGTATACAATAAATTAACAATAAAAAATATATAACAAAGATATTAAACGAAGGAAACAATGATGATCTGCAGGGAATTTCAAGTTCTAGTTATAATTTATATGTATTTTAATAAATTCAATGACTTTTTTCATAAACTAGAGTCTCCATCCCTTTTTCTGGCGACGTACTAACTACCTGTTCTGTAGTACATTCGCTTAAAAAAAACTTCTTTTTAGAGGACACAGCAATTGTCTTAAAAAAAACTCATTTAATTAAAAAGAAAGTATAACTATTAAGACTGTCTTGTTTCAAGACTCGACGCTATTATATAGAATTTGGCAGCTACTCTGGACTTCATCCTATCTAAACCATTTTCAATAAATTATCTACCTCTATACCTAGTTATTCCTGTATTACACTGACTATCAAAATGTAGTACATACTTTTTTAAGTGAACTTTATCATGTGCATGTTAAGTATCAAAAAGAAATAAAAGTGTTTTTCAATCACAATGGATTATTTAAATTATCATAACAGGAGCGAGTGACAGTTTAATCTTCAACGATTAGTTTTTACATATTGTTTAAAAGCTTTTGAATGTTCGATTAATAATCTTTGGTGTTCATGCTGAAGCATAATGGTAGATGAAGTATACTTACATTTCAAAGATCATTACTTCATTAGGTATTCTACTCTAATCGCAAAATGTTGAAAATATTCAGTATGCGCATAATTTTACAGAATATTTTATACTAAGCTGTACACGCGTTTTGGCTAAACAAACGAATAAGATTGGTCATCAGACATTTTTCAAGACATAAGTACTATGCTTTAGACCCTCTTAATTTCTTATTCATTTTCTTACATATATTTAAAACTGATAAATATAGATATAAAACATTTGTATTTTACTTTCACACATAAACACTAGAAAGTCATGAGAAATATAATCATTATTAATCAAGAACGTAAATCTTTTTGCCATTTCAATAAAAATTTTAATAACAAAAATATTATGCGCCTTCGTAAATCTGTATTGAAATATCTGATGGTAAATACTCATGAATATTATCAATGTGTATAAGTATATTTTCAAACTTTTATGTATTTACTAGTCCAAAATGACTCTGAAAAATTTAAAAGTACAATGCTTAAATATATTTTTTTGTTATTAAATTTTATATGATACACATCTTTCATGGTATTTTACCAATAGTTTAAACTATTTTGATTGCTATTCAAATGATATCTGACAATCAATTAAATTGATTATAGTTTTCACTCTAATGATTTTGAAATATACAAGAGAAACATAATAATAGAATTTTGCATGTGAAACCATTTGACTTATTAAACAAACAATAGAGTGGGTGGAAATTAATTACAAATGTATTCAAAACAATAAGGTAAGTAAACGTTGACTTAGGATTCCTTCATTTACACTTAACTTCATAGCATTGTGAAAATCTATTTTCATTTGTTATAAAACTTTTTTTTCCATTGAAATATCCATAACTTTTATTTTTTTTTGGTTTATTTTCATTTTAATTATATTTCAATACTAAAATATTTATAACGACATTTATGTACATGAAATATTTATACCCCAAAGGAATACTTATGTTTATATACTATTTTGATAATACTATAAGTCATTATTTCCATTAATTTTTAGTATCTAACTAAGCGATATTTTCATAGAAAAATTTTTACACTAACAAGAATAATAGTGTGAAAATAAAGTCCTTTTATTTTTGTTCTTTTTATAAAAACATATTCATCGTTTGATACCGTAGAATAGATAAAGAAATATTCTAATTTTTAGAAATTTAAAAATTCTACAATAAGTTATCTACTAAAAATAGATGATAAATTTATTTCCAAATTATTTACAAGATAAGCTATTTTTAATATATTACAAAAATATTTAAAAATTTGTTAAATATTTATTATATTATTATTAGAGAGTAGAAATGTATTTATTATTATTTTTTTTTAATCTGCGAAAATTATTAACTGGATCAAATGTTAATAAAGTTGTTTAAAACCAACTAGACCATTCTGTATAATATTAATATTATATAATGTATTATAATTAGTAACATAATAATAATTAGGAGTATATTTTATTTTTAACTTTTTTTTTATATAGTCTAAAAATGTTAGGCTATATAAAATTTGTACATAGAATAGAATCTTTTTTACTTTTACAGCTACTTTTCGTTATCTTATAATTCTTTTAAAATTATGTTTGTTTTAAAAAGCAATATGAGATGTTCTGTTCAATTTTAATTTAAAAGTAAATAAAAATAATTAACCACCTGCAGTCATAAATTGAGATTTAAGAGTTTTAACTAATTAATTTTAATTTTATAGTTACATTTCATTTAAAAAAAAAACTCAACACTTTATTGAAAATTAACTTATTTTTTTCTGTAATTAAAAAAATATTTATAAAGATTAAGTATAATTATTTTTATATTTTTAAAGTAATTTTAGTATATTGACTAATGATAACAATATTTATTTCATTTTAACAATTTTTTAACATTCAAAACTTACTTTTACAAATAAAACATTAATAATTTTTGTATTATTCTTATAGTAATTTTATAAATAGTCTATAATAGCTACTATTTTTTCTTATTTCGTAAGTTAAATAAAAATCGTATATTTTTTAACAAACTTTAAAAAAAAAATGACGAAAACTGTTACTTTGGAATTAATCTTGAATTATTATAATTAACTACTTTTAAAATATTAATTATTTATATTATTTATCACCCTATTAAAACAGACGAAACTTATTATATAGACACAAATAAATTCTAAAAACTTTTATTAATAGGACTTGGCTAATTTTGAATAATTATTTCACCGTTGCATAATTGATTACAGTAGCGGTAGACTTTAATTACATTAAGGCATCAAATTAAACAAAAATATGTTCAATAAATTTTTAAGTATACAAAAGTAGTAAAATATTTCTAAAAAATTATCTTATTGTAACTACCAATAAAACTCATCTTGCAACTAAATCTTACAAACAATTTATTTTCAAGCTGATTTCAATTAGTTGCCTGCAAAAAAAAATTTTAAAAAGTAAGTAATTGAATAAAAAATTACGAATTCCTTTTCTTTTCTTTTCTTCTTCCCTTAGTTTTATATTGTATTTATTTTCTATTTAAATTGCTCTATTTTAATTCATGCTAATAAATTTATAAATTTAGCATAGTTTCTCAAAAATGATTCTTATTTGGGTTTATTGTTACCGGTTATTTGTTTGTGAGTCCCAAAACTTAGTCAGGCTGGAATTAATGATGTCCACCATCTCTCCGAAAAAGCATAATTGAAACAACAGTCTCCGTGGAGTTTTTACATAGTTACCTTGTAATTATATATGTAAATAAACACAAATTCGTGCTTTGATTATTTGCATTAGTGCCTAGTACCTTATGAAACAAAAAAAGAAATTAACAAGCCTTTTTAATTTTAGAAACTTAAAAAATATCTGCAATTATGTTACACTCATTTAAAAATATCTTGAAGATTGTTTTATCAATATCTAATTTGAAATATTGCTAATATTTAAACAAAAGTGATGTGAAGAACTTTATTTTATTTATTGCCCGGACGGGTTTAGTTATTACAATGATAAAACACTTTTACAAAGTCGACCCACTTGTCATAAAGAATCCATTACTAATTTACGGAATATCTATGCACATTTACATAATTAATTATTCATGTTTCGCATTGTCTAGTCCCCGTATTATAATTACTGAAGTGAAATATTTCTGATTTTGTTTTATGCATTATAATAATTGTTGAGTATTTGTTTTGATATTAATCACATTCCAAAAAGGTCAGAGTAAGATATAATATTTGAAACGTTCGTTTGAAGTACTGTTTCATTAATGTCATCCCACAATATTTTACTGATGATAAATAAACCTGATTTTAATTTAAAGTTTTAATTCTATTAAATTACTGGAATATTAGAATATAGTCAGTGGAAAGAATATTTAAAAATTATTTATAACAAAAAATATATGTAACAGAATACAATTTTCATATTTTTCAAATATATATTGTTACACTAAATTCAATACCATTTTTTAACACGATTTGTTTTTTTTTATTCTAATTATTATAAAGTGGTATCGTATTTACTAAAGATATATTAATGATACAATATTACAATTGTTTTCTTTACTCAACTACTTGTCATTGGCTACCCTAATCTTAAACTTCCACTCGACACGAATTCCCAGATCATCTACACACACATCAGCTGCCCTTAAATTGTATTTAATAACATACCTCAATTGCTTTTTTGATCTTCCTATACCTCTTCTTCCTTCAATATTCATTTCCATAACTCTTCTTACAGCTTCCGATTCCTTTCTCCTCATAACATGACCACAACATCTAAGTCTATTTTCTTTCAACTTATCCACGATCGACACTACGCTTAATATATCAGCTAGCCTATCATAAAATTCATCATACTTCTTAAACTTTGTCTTACTTATGAGGCGAAGCGATTAATATGCGTCCAATTTAAATAATTTGTATATTTTTGTAAGTTAAAATTATAAAATTACACGATTTTTTTGGCGAAATTTCAAGTCTTCTATATATTTTTATATGAAAAAATTCATTATTTACCTAACGTGAAAATTTGATAAACAATATAAAATTAAAAATCGTTTATGAAATTATTTTTTAATGCGTATAAAGTTCGTGTTGCATATATGAATTCATTATGTAAGAGTAAATTTTTATGGTATTAGTTATAAAAAAGTAAATTTTTTATTTATAAGAGTTCAATATATTCTTTACTTGAACATTATAATGAATAACATTCACTGGTTGTATTATGACAATTATTAAAAAAAAGTGATTTTATTGAAACAAGAAAGTTTTTCTTCATTTATAGTTTGTAGATTGTTTGATAGTTTTATATACTAATCAAAAATATTTAAATTAGTAATTATTTTTAAATAACTACTAATAAAGCTATATATAATATAGCTTATTATATAATATATATAATATAGTTGATGAAAGCTATATATAATTAATTTTTTTTCGTTAATATTTATAATGTATTATATTTCTTTAAATATAATCAGGTAATTCTTTAAGCATGTTAATAAAATACTAACTTCATTTTACTTCAATGGCCGCGGCTTAAGGTATAAATATTTGTATGTAAGTATAAAGTTAATAAATTTAAACTGAAATATTAGTATATTCTAAGTTAGAAAAATTGTTGATAAGTTATTTTAAAATGATATTTTAGTTTCTAATATTTTTGATTGTATATATAGCTACAGTAGATACACTTGGGTTGTGTCATTTAATGTATAAATGAAACAAGGAGAGAGAAATTGAGGGTTGACATAATAAAATATAAAGCAATTTAATCAACAGCACGCTTGTGATGGGAAAGTTAGCTTGAAAGACCCGTTTTACACAACTGCAAACATCTCCGGATTTCATTTTATCAATTTCGATAGTATTGCTTATTTAAATAAGTATACTAGATGCATCATTTTCATACCCACTCGCTTCATTGTCTTGGATGTCCTTGCTACAAAAATCATCATCAAGCATATTGTATTTACACGTGTACTGAAATTATATTTATCAACGCTTCTCTATTTTAAAAATATTCGTACTAAACTATCAGTAAAAAAGTGAACTTTGTACGAAATAGTATTTTTTTTTATGTTGCATACAACGTATATGACACTAGTGTACTCGTTTATAGACGTCTAGTACGTCATTCGAATTCGTTCAATACCAAAATATCTGTTGAATTTATTAGATTATAAATTTTATCTTTAAAAGATAAATTGAAGTCCTTAATTTTAGTCATAAAAATATCTTTACGAAAATATTAATTTTACTTTAATAGTTTTTTAATCCTGTATGAGTACAACTTCTTATTCATTAAATTTAATTTGAAGTCTTAATTGTATTCATAAACAAAAGTATAGTAACCTGGAGAAAAGTGACGAATGGGGTAAGATGAACTATTATTAATAAATTATTTAGATTTTAAAATATGGTCAAATTGTTTAATTTTAATGAATTTACTATAATCATTAGAAAATTGATAATGTTTGGTACTATGGGTGCTGCAAATGTGACCTGCCCAAATAGGTTTTATCTTATAGGTAATGTGCAGTGGCCTACGAAATTACATTTTTATTATTTTATAGAAGTTCTTTCTTCGCAGACATCTATACTGTAATTAGCGTATGTGTTATTGTCCCTTAAGTTTCACGTAATTATAATTGTTTGTGCGCTAATATAATGTTCAATGTAATAAGTACATTCAAGCATTTCTTATAATAATGGAGTTTCTAGATTAAATTAAAGGATAATTCGTATACAATTGTTAGCGTTAGGTCTGGTCGCATGTATATGTATATGTATATATATTTTCAATACTTATAATTCGTTTTGCATTGTTTGGTTGCTTTTAATGACGAATGATAGATCAAATCAAAATCAATCTACTGAGGAGCGCCAAATCAGATAAAATGGTCTAATGAATGTATAATTATTATTTTATTCATAGCATAAATATATTTATGTAATTATTTAAATTACTAACGCTTGAGTAATACCAAAAATTGTTATTACTGCATAAACTGATAGTAATCAATGATTTAATAAATTACAGTCCACGAGAAATTTTTATTTATTACTTTAAATTTTACCTATTATAAATACGAAGTCTAACTAGCTTAGTTAGACTAAACAATTAGCTTAATTGTCGTCCGAGTAGTTAAGTCGAACAGATAAACACTTAGGAGTTTGACCATATTTTAAAATCTAAATAATTTATTGATAATAGTTCATTTTACTCCATTCGTCATCAGTCTGAAATAGAATGTATAAAGTATGAAACGCATAAATCTTTTCTGTATCATGATGATATGAAATACTATGCAAATATTATTGTAAAATAAATAAATGATATTTGTTAGAAAGATCACTCTTCCGGAACAATAGACTCAATAAAGTATGTATAAAAGTCTAATTGCAGTGAGTAGCCATTTATGATAAAATTTACATTTTTATTTTTTTGTAAAAGCTGTTATAAGTAGTTTTTAATACTTAATGATATTTTGAATGCGTAAAATATTTTACATATAACTGTAAAAAATGTCTCCAATAGATATTTTTTCTTCAAAATAAATTCATATTTAATAAGTTTTTTTGATTGACATTTTATTAGACAGTAATTATTGTTTTATCTACTAATTAGAAACAATCTTTTCTCCAATATCCTTGTAAGAAAAATACAGATTAATGTTAACGTTGATTTTTTGTTACTATACAATAATTGTATAAAATTTTTAATTAGAAAAAATGTTGTATTTGAGTTTTACAAATAAATCTTACGGATTTACATTTTTAACTGCAGTTGAGCTCTTATGTCAACAACATTTTTTGTAATTTATTTTATAAAGAATTTCTATGCTGGATGTTTGTAATTGAAACATGAGACATTAACCTTTAAATAAATAATTGCAAAGCACTATATACTGAGCAAGCGGGTCTCTATGATCTATTGTAATTATAACTTTCCATTTGCGGCTGCAGGCAAATCGGTTGACATCGCTATTGCTCACATCGTCGTATAACAACACTAACATTTGTCGTCACTACTTGTCACAAACACTTGAAAATTGTGCAAAACCACACACTTTAATACAAATACATGTATTTGTTTAAAATTTACTTATAGTTTTATTAATGAAAGTATCAAAATCAAAAGTACCTAGATAAATATTAATTAATATGTAAGTAATCAGTTTGATTTTTACTTTTTAATATCTATGTATTAAATGCTATACTTAATAACTCAAATTATTATCAAAAATAACGTTTACAATTTATTAGAATCATTGTACAGGTCGTGTTTTAAAATTACAAAATAACTTTAGCGTTAGTATTTTGTTTTTAGCTGAGCAAACTGTTGCGATAGATCTAACAACACTTACCAACTTTCAAGTGTGGGTTGTGTGCTCACAAGAAAATTCATTAGATGCCACTTGAATACGAGTTTTGGTTATCATTTAGTAAACGAAAACTATTCTAGTTATTCAAAATACAGCTAATCAATAAAAAGGGTAAGCTGGTTTAATTTTTTTAAACAAACTATTGCAACAATGTGTTACATTTAGTGAAGTTAGTACGAATTTTATGATTTCGTAACTGCTATTTTATTAGACTATGCATTCAAGGAGAATTGACACCGAAATTATATAACGATTTGGAGAAGTTCTAAACCGAAAAGTTTCAGAACGTGGCTAGTATTTCTTTGACAAAATTTTCTCTTTTACTTTTAGCTCTATCAATTACTTTTTGACATATTGACGCGCGTATTAAACTTTAAGTGTGTGAACTCTAATAATATTTTGGATTTATTATTGTTCATCTTTGGGTTATAAATAGGTTAATAAAATCTTTTAAGAGTTTCTTGCATCCACATTTTAGCCATCGCGTTAAAGCTTTTGCTCATCTACTCTTACATCATAGTATTTATGCTAAATTTTATACGAAACTTATAAATAGTAAAATTAATATCTTATAACCTTAAGAAAGTTATGTAATTATTAATTTTTAAACAAAATTTAGATTGCTTTCTGGGTTAGGATTCAATATCTTGTTAAATGATTTTTATTAAACGTTGTTTACTGCTGTATTGCAATTATAGATTATCAATTATTAGATTTAATTAAAAATCAAATTCAATTTTAAAAGTTTATTAATCAATGTTTTGTTCTTTATTTAAAAAATCACGATATACTATATTATAAAACACAATAGAGAATAGTTGACCTTAATGTATATTTACTGTATTATCTTATTGACAATACATATTAGTTATGTTAATAGTCTTTATCGTCAAATTAATACAATCCATAGAAATTAATAAAGCCCATATACTATTATCAGTTAATATTAAGTAGCCGATTACTACTTGTCAAATACCAACATTATAATTAACATAAGTATATATATATACTTCTAAATTAGGTGATGAAGAAATCTAAGTATATGCAAGCTTAGAAGAATTAATTAAACTTACAAAATCTGATGACAACATAATCGACATGAGAGATTTCAATGCAAATGTTGAAGAAGGAACATATGGACAATTAAGAAATCAAGTAAATAGAAAAACCTGGCTAGAGGAGCAATGTAAATAAACTGAAACATTTTTTAAAAATAATCAATACAGTTCATGCCTATCGTAAGATTTTTAAAGTGGTTAGAATAAAAAACAAGCTGACAAAACTGGGAATTAAGGGAATAACAGACAAAGATAATATTAAAATTAGAATTTAATTTTAAAACAGTAGTCAAATGGTAAAAAATGCTTTCTTTAAGTTCACAAGAGACATATATAAGCAGAGAAATGTTCCAGATTCAGAACGACATTAGAATACTGCACTTATAATACAGACATCAAATAGCTGAAATTAAAAAAGATGAGGCAAAAGAAAATGGTAAAAAAATTAATACAGCAAGATTGCACTTTATCACCACTTTTATTCAATTGATAAATAGCAAAAAATAATTGAAACAGTAAAGAAAAAACTAATGAGACAGTACATTGGAGTTAAAGTTAGAGACGAAAACATATCTATGATACTTTTCGCTAACGAAATAGTAATAATAAATGAGAGTGACGGAAATAAATGCTGTATATTTCTACATTATTAGCTATCAACGAAATTGAAGAGATGCTTAGTCCTATCGGAATGAAAATCAATAAAATAAAACTAAGATACTAATTTTCACAAAAAAAAACCAGAAATATATATGTTGATAAATATCTAGATAAGTATAAACTTGACCAAGTATACGAATTTCCATATTTAGGGAGTATTATTAAAACAGATGGAAAGTGCACAAGATAAATCACGGGATACATAGAAATAGCAAAATCAGCGTTCATAAATAAATTTAAATTAATTACCTAAAAGAAATAGAATCTCAACCTTAGGAAAATTTTCATTAAAACTTAGGTTTGGAATATAGAAAAGGAGTACGACTGTGAAACATAAGTTAAAAAAGTAACTAAAATAAAAGAATTAGGGTCGTATGAGAAATTATTCTAAAGACACATGCAAAAAATAAGTTGGGAGGAACGAATATGTACTGGAAATAATTGGCAAGGAATGTGTACTAATAGACTTGATTAGGAAGAGAAGATGGAAAATAATGGGACACACACTAAGACATCCAGAGGAACTACACAGCACAATACTAAAAAATGTGATCGAAGGAAAAAGAACACCTGGGTGACCTTGCAACACATTTATTGGATACATAAAAAAATATGCAAGAATTAGAAGCTTTAGAGCTCTTAAATAAATAGCAAGTGATCATGAAAATGGAGAAGACAAGTGGCAAACCACAACAAATTTTTTTAACCTACAGATTAAAAAAAATTCATAATAACTAATGTGAACAAAATATAAAAAATAAATATTTATAAAGAAGTTGTAGGAAATTATAAGATCTTATGTTTTGAAAACTTAATGATCAGTAATTATCAGTAAATAATTAAATACTTCATCTAATTCATGGATATCTATCAAATAGAGCCCTAGTCATAAGGTACTAACTAATAGCACATTATGAATCTACATTCAGAATAAAAAATTTTATGTATGGAACTTTAAGCAAACCTCAAATTAGTATTCTAATTTTTTTACATTTAATACAACACCGGTAAATAACCAAAACATTTTGGCAAGAACGGTTGGTTATAAAATGAATTACTTATAAATTAAATGCGCTCTCCTTAAATATATGAAAGTTCGCAAAGAACTTTATCAATCTAAGACTGCAATTTTTTACATCAACGCTATTTAAATGAGGTTTTCCAACCAAAATTAAAATAAAATAGGTAAAAAAAAAAACACGTAGAGGAAAAACAAATTGTAAGTATTATTCAAAAGCCAAATAATAATGCCAAATAAATATTGAGTAAAAAAAAAATGAATAATTATAAATTTATAATTTTATAATTTTATACTTGAGGTATTTTCCCTCAATAAGTTTTAATAATAGTTTCTATTCTAGCTAAAGGCATTTTAATTTATGGATGAATGAAAACGGTAATTTTAACTGCGTACAATATTTTAACAAATTTTTTTCATTTAAAACATTTTGTATAACTTAACAAAACTAATTTATCTGTTTTTTAAATCTAATTAAACTCTGTCATTACTTTTTCAAATAATAAATTATTTTATGCTCTATTTGCATAATATTTCAGTATTAATCATCTTTTAGAGAAAAAAAATTATTTTAAAAACTTAAAATTATTTAGAAGCCAGGGAAAGTAACAAATCAATGACCTTATGTTTAGAATATAAGATAATTGAATAATTAAGCATAAGTAAAAGACTACCCTTACTTATGCTGAAGAATTCAATATCGAAATTGATAAAAAAATTAATAGCTCACGTATAAACAAAAGGGAATATTATCTAATAAATAATAAATAAAATAATGTACTTGTATTAACAAGTAAAATTTCAAAACTGCATTAGTAATAACATATTTCTTTTAATTGCAATGTACAATATTATTATATGTATAGTTAAATCTTATAAATATTATATTCATAAGAATACTCTTCATAATTACTACATGTAATTAATACTTGGTAGTAGACAATGTTACTACCAAGTATTTTAATCAAAATATTATTATATTTACAATCAATAATTATAAAAGTACTTTATAAAATACTTTAAACAAAAACTGCATTTTTTGTTTTTGTTTTAAAAATAAATTGTTCAGCTTCATATATATTTATTCCGTAGGTAAAAAGAAGACAACAATCAACAGTAAATCACTATGTCACTTTACAAAGCTTGAAATAATATGTAAATAAACAAAACACACAAAGATAATTTATAGCATTCGTGTTTATTTTTTATTTGATATTTGCACATATAACTTGAATCCGTTTGTTTTATTAAGGAGAAGTTTGACGTATATTATAATTATACCATCTTTAGTTGAAATTGTTAAGCCAAATACACAGAAAAGTTTACACATGTTGTAAAGCATGTGTAATAAATTCTTTTAATCTTTAAAAAGTTAATAACATAAATCATAAATCATGAATCTCATTTATGAATTTTGATAGAAAAATTAAGTAAAAGAAAATAATAAAAATCTCAATATAATCTTGAACTATACGTGTTATGTAAAGTTATTTAAAATAATGAAATACGCACATAAAATTCATTTGAGTTTATTCGATTCATTTTGAAAATACCTTATATTATTTCTAGTCCAATTAAATGATTGTAAGCTATTGAATATTGCGATATAAAATAAAAAAACTTAATCATTTTCGGAACAAAATAATATAGGACTATTTTACAAATCTCCTAAATATAACCAAATGGAGGGTTTAGGGATTTTCTTGACCCATATATCAATGGTGGCCATCACTAATTATTTTTGACATTTTAGATTATGTTTATGCTATACTGTACTAACACAAGATCCAACTAGATGCAAATATAAGCTTAATTGAACAATGGAAAATGGGTAAAATTATTTTAAACAGCTTTAGTATAAATAGGTCGACAGCGGATTTTGAATTTTAAACAAAAATTTTAAAATAGCGAAAAATGTTTAATTTTAAATAATAACCTATTTATTTGTTGATATATTTTGCAAACATAATAATACATTCAATTTTAAATAAATGTCTTGTGAAAAATGTTATAGCAAAAATATTTAAAAAACATTCGAAACAAACAATTTTTTTTCTAAACCATATACTTTTAACAATCTAATAAATTTAATTTTCTTTTTTAATAAATAATAAGGGTAGTTTTGTTATATTAAATTGATTTCTTTGTAAACATATTTTTACCAGCATATTGTTCATAATATTAATATAAATAACTTTATTTATGAAAGAAGAAATCAATTTCTTTTTCCCAATTATTTTTTTTTTATTGAACGGTAGTACAGTGGGGACAAAAATAGATGATATTTAATTTTTTTAACTTAAGTGCTTAAAATGTACCGGTAATATTCGGAGCACAAAACGTATGTTAAAAATAGGATATTCAATATGTAAACGACTTTTGTAGTTAAATAAATAACATCATTTTGATGTTATAAAATTACCGCTATTCGTATCCCTATAATTATTTATTTCATTTTTTTTTTTTTTTTATATTTGTGTTAATATTGTAGATTAATATTGTTAGGGATAAAAACCTTAAATAAGCCCCCACTTTACAAAAAATATTTAAAAATGATTTAAATGTTAATTATAAATATTTTTTAGCTCTTAATGTTTAACCAATAATTATATTTGAAAAAAAGAAGGCTGCCACTTTTTTGTAGTATTATAATTCTTTTTTCTATTTATTATTTACTTATATTTTAGGTCAAATAGTATAGTCTTATAGAAGCGTTGTAGTAATTATCCCATTTAACCCTTTTTTTTTTTTAAATATTTTGCAGCTTTTAATATGACACCAACAAGTATATCAAAAGGACGACACTGCCCTTTCCAAAAAAAATTGACTAACTAACTTACGATAAATTGTGTTATCAAAATAAAAGTAATTATTTTAATGCCTGCTCGTATACGAACGAACAGCTATATTATAACTCGTTCAGTAACAAGTTATAATTATATTAAAAAGATCATTTATGGTATTTTTCAGTTTCATATATTTCTCAATTTATTGATTATAATACTTTTTTAATTTATCCTTTATACTTTATGAGGATGTCAACTTAATTTTTTTAATGTCAACATAAATATTTAACTAGCTTATAAAATAAACATGATCGAATTAAAAAAATTGATTAGTCGATGACAACTTTTGATACATTATTTCGAAAGTTATAACTATTTTAAAGTATATCGTGGAAGTTAAGTGTGAGTTATGTTATTTTTATCATTACTCTGCTATAGTTTTTCTCCTCTACATTTTAAAATTTTAATAAATTCTCAAATGCTAATTATAATTAATTTTAGATTAGTCATTTTCTTAATTACGTATTTTTTTATTATATTGGCTAGTAAAATATTTATGTGAATATATAAAAAATAAATATAGTTTAAAAAACTAAAAAAACACGCTTTTAAAGTACATCGAACTAAAAAGTTAAAAATAATTTTTAAAATAATTATGAACAAAAAATACTAGTATTATTGTGATAAAAGCGTGGGTGCTTTGTGCCATATTTTTCGTATATTGAGCGCCCGACGCTTTTATCACAATAATACTAGTATTTTTTGTTCATAATTATTTTAAAAATTATTTTTAACTTTTTAGTTCGATGTACTTTAAAAGCGTGTTTTTTTAGTTTTTTAAACTATATTTATTTTTTACTTTTTAGTTTCATGTTATGTTATAATGTTATGGTTGACACTCTTATAAGGTATATGGGATGAATTAAAAAAAAACTTAATAATTATTAACTCAAGAAATATATAAATTTGAAATACCAAGAAACTTTTCTAATTATCATTTTTTTTTTTTTTAAGAAATTGAGCTTGGTTATAACTAAAAATTATTTTAACTAAAAAAGTAATTATTACATACTAGTCAAAAAAATTAATAAAATTCTTGAGTCAAAATTTTATTTAGATTATTTTCTATTTATAAATCAATAATAGGTTTTCATTTAACTATTGAAAGTTACTCCTAAATTTTACCTTACATAATTTTTTTATAATAAACTTCATATTTACAATGATTCATCAAAATAAAACAATTTTTAATCTATATATTTTTATAAAAAAAAATCATTATTTAACAAAAAATTCGGAGAATATAGTTTATAAATCACATTGTAGATTGAAATTACTTCAATAACATTTTAAACACAAATGTGCTAGAAGATGGTTTTTAATTAAAAAAATTTAATAAATATATTTCTATTTAACCTATTTTGTGCTTACTTATTGATGAAATTTTCAATAGTTTACTTTAGAGCAAAAATATTTTTGGGCAGAATACATCAACATTTTATAGGAATCTTGAATTTTTTAGACACATATCAGTCTATGTTTATCTCAAAATAAGTACGACTGTTTTAAACTATTTAATTGTAATAAAATCCTAAGAAAAATAGTGATATTGCGTAAATTAAAAACACGAAATAAATTACATTAATATTTCTTCAACATTGTATAAAAAATATATATATTCATAAAAATAATTATTGAAATGGAGTCTGTTCAATGTTAAATTGGTATGCACAAACTGGCGGCACGTTAACTTTTTTAAAAATTATATACATGATTACACAATACCCAAAACTGAAAAGTGTCATCTTGTAAAAGGTACATTTTATTTTTAAGAATAATATACATTGTTATAATTGCTTTATAAAATAATTTAATAAATAATTTTTTAATGCTATTTTCTATAATTTAATTTTTATACTGGTCATATCAATTTTAAATTTCAGGAATACTAATAAATTTAAAGTCGATAAAATTAATTATATTGGTATGCATTCTTATATGATATTCAAATTCAAAAAGTTCTATTCCATAATATATTATATTAAAAAAACGTTTAGGAATTACGTGCAAAGTTCCAGATAACTAAATGAAATTTATATATGCAGTATATATTTGAATATATACTACTAAAATAAGGGTTTTGCATTTTTTAGGTACTTTTGCAAACTATTGGATGCATAATATATAACAATGAAAGTGCCCTACCTCATGCGTTGTAATATTATTATATGATATTATTTTCAAATATTTTGTATCCAATTAATATTGGTATGCATATTTATTTTCTTTGGAGAAAACCCAAAGAATAAAGATAAAACGGGAACTAGACACACAAATTTAATATATAATCAGAAGATACTTATATATAAGAGTGGATCGTCTTTTTGAAGTTCTGTTTATGTATAAACCTTACGTTAAACCTTGCCAAGTTAAATAGGAAAT